TATATATATATATATAACATATACGCTCTAAATTGCTTGATAAAATCAATGTTTATTTATATCAAATATCTCTTAATTTGTGGGATGTTAATTAACGACTGTTAATTATATGTGATGTTATTTGGTTGTCTTCATTTTTTTTTTTTTTATTCTAAATGAAATTTTTGTTTTCTTTTCTTTCCATTCATGTTTTGATAGCGTCATGCAACTTTCCCTTCAAAATGATAAAGAATGTGAGTACAAAGAATTGAGCATTGTAGCATTTTTCATTGGACCAACAAATAATAATATTATTTATATTTGCAACTGATAAGAAATGATAAAATATGTTATAACTTGAAATTGGAATTGAAAAGAAATGATATAATTAAGACAAAAATGAAAATATTGATATTAATTCAATAAAAAAGAAACGAAAACTAGAGCTGAAACTCCTTTTCAAAAAAATAGGCATGTTCATTTCAAAAAATTTTGTTAGAAGTGATTATTATGCTATTTTTATTTTACTGATTTTAATTTTGATTTCCGATATATTAAAATGACATTGTTATTGAAAATGGAAAATATGGAAATTCTCCTTTTTCATTTTTACTTTATTTAATTACTTTCATTTAGTTCGTTCTCACTTTTTAAATAATTAAATGTTACATTTTAAAGTTCTCTAACTAAATTTTAATCCAGTTTTTCTCGGAGTCTTTAAATTTACATTCTTTCTTAAGCTTTTCGAATTTCATTCAGTATTAATAGTTCCATTTGCTTACATTTAAAAAAAAAAAAGCGAAAACAAAAACAAAAAATGATTTTTTATTTTCTAAAAAATTTAGATAATTATTCGCTTAATTTGTTTTGCATTAATACTAAACATTAAATTAATCATCAATTTGAAGAAAAAAACGCTTGTTAATTAATGAAATTAATTGCTAATTAATTTTCAAATTAACCATCAATTAATTTTTTTCATATTAATCAATAACTAATTTACCTATCAACCATTTATTAATCTTTCTTCAAACTTGATATTTTAATTTGAATTATTACCATTCTGAAGATCACAAAGAATAGTATAATTGTGAATTCATTTAACATTGATATATTAATATCACTGATATTGATCAAATGTTGACACTAATAACTAATCAATGAAATGATCAATGATTTTACATTGAATCAAAAGATAAATATTAAATATTAACATCAAGTTTCCTTTAATGTCAACAAAATCCACTAAAAATACAGGTATTAGAGGTATTATGACAAAATGACATCCGAGATATTTTAGCCTTAGCAACATATGTCACATTAGTCTTCTGCTGAAAGAGCAATAAATTCATGTCAATTTATCTACACCTCAAGGAATACATAAACCTTGTAATTGATTATGTAAGCTTATAACTGATCATATGAGCTTGTAATTAATGACAATTAAAGACAATAACTTTTTTCATGGGATAAATACTAATTCCGATTTTTCGATATTTTTTTCAATTATTTTAATTAGCAGCACAAATTGAAAAACAAAGAATTTGAATTGTATGTATGAGTTTGTTATTATTATCAACACAAATTTATATACTAATTTTATTGTCACTTTTTTTCTTTTAAATTTATTTTTGAAGGCTTTCGTTTTTTTTTTAGAATATTCAAAAGTACTGATAAGAAAGTTTGTAAAATTTCCATTTCATTATAACTTTTTTTTGCCCTTGTTCTGTTGTTTGTTACAAAAGATTTATTGACTGATAGCTTTTCTTTCGCTTTTTTTCTTTTTTTTTTGTTTTTTAGTTCCATTTATTATCAAAGGTCATCGTTTTCATTTTTTGAAAAATAAAAAAAATTAAAAATTTTTTGTAATTTTTTTCAAGTTTTAATCATTTTCGAAGGTCATTTTTTTGAAAAATATTTGCTGAAAAATAAATTTTTCATATGGTATTTGAATAAATGACAAAATTTTTTACTTTAAAAACTCCAAATTTTACATTAATTGAAATTGCTTGCATTCGAAAGTTTTTCATGAATGTAATGTATTTTATATGTTTAAAACTGAAACTTTTTTTTCTCATTTCATAAATTTATGCTAATTTTTTCTTTTATTTTGTCGAATTTATGCAATTTCAAATCTAATTACTTGCATTTATTAATAAAATTGATAGATAATTCGTTCATTTTAATTTGTCTTTTTTTATTTCTTTTGAAATTTAAACTTTTTGAAATTCGCATTTTCTTCCCGAAACACTTATAATGAATGTTTGACATGCTTATGAAATATTTTCGAAATTTCTAATATAAAAATTGTATTTCAATCAGTTTTTTACATTTTATCAAAGAATTCTTACATTCATTTCTTAGCTGTTCCATCAGTAATTTACAATCATTTTTAACAACGATTAATTGAAACTTTCGTAATTAAATCTTAGGACTAATTTGTATAAATTGTATTTCAATCAATCTTTTATTGCACTCATTTATCGATCACATTGATATCATGAAATGATTCTTATCATCATCAGAAAAAAACAATTCCATTTTATTGTACTTATTTTTGATCATTAACATAAATGGTCACTTAGGAAGAATAAAAAGAGAGAGAGAAAAAGAAAAGTTTATATTTATACTTTCTTTTTGCAATGATAACTCATTGTTTTATCGTAATTTAAAACTTTCATCAATTAAAAAAAAAAAATTGCTTTTGCATTTTATGTTTCAATCGTTATTAAGCGTCGTGAATAATTAACTTTTGAAATGAAATGAATTTAGAAATTCTGATTTATAAAAAAAGAAGCACATTTCAGCTTTTCTTCTTCGTAAAACAAAAGAAGAAACAACAACAATAAAACAAGTAGTAATAATAGTAGTAATAATAAAAGATGAAAATTTGGCATATGGAACAATGTCCATTTGGCGACCGTCGCCTTCCTCATCATATTTTTCCACCAAAATTATATACAACTGATCAATTGAAAGCTCTCACCGGTGTTATTTCATATAAGGTATTAATTTATGGCAAATTAATTATTAAATAAAGTTTTTTTAAAAAAAGTTGTTTAAAATTGTTAGAAACATTTTAATCGTTAAAAAAATTTTTTCCATTCTTATGAGATGAATAACAATAGCAATGGACATTGGAATGGTCACCATCGAAATTTTTTACATTTTTTTTAATAATATTATTGAATTTTGTTTATTTGTTGCAAAAATGTGTCACATTAATTGTCACAAAGGTTGATGTCGATGATACTAATGCGATGAAGAAGCGCATATCACGGGTGAAAGCAGAACGAAAATTTACCGGATCAGATATTTTTTCTTTTAATCAAAATGTAAATGAGTTCGAAAAAAAGGTCAATTTAAGCAAATTTTATAAAATTTCATTCAAAGTGAAATAAACACATTCTGAAAATTATTTTCGTTCATGTTAAAATCGATAATGACAACGCTGATGGTAATAATAAGTAATAATTATTATAGAAATAGGAGTAATAATAATAATAATTAATAATAATAATAACTAATAATAATAATAATAATAATAATAATAATAATAATAATAATAATAATAATAATAATAATAATAATAATAATAATAATAATAATAATAATAATAATAATAATAATAATAATAATAATAATAATAATAATAATAATAATAATAATAATAATAATAATAATAA